ATCTGTAAAACAAAACGGTGAATGAAATCTGGACGAAATCGGATTTCCAGATTTTTGATTTTGTTGTTGAAAATTTGTAAAAAGAGAAACATCTTATTAGATGATTAGCTGATTGATCTGTCAGAATATATTCTAATTCATGAATCTGACTACGTGGAAAATAATACTGGATACCTAGAACGAACAATCCGACAGTCGGATTTCGTCGGATCCTATCGGAAAAATGATCGAATTTTATCGAATCCGATGGCAATTCGTCGGAATCCTTGGTATCGGATTCCGACAGGAAGTTGTCGGATGTCGGAAAGTGTCGGAAGTGGCCGGGATCTTGTCGGAACTCTGAAAATCCGACACTTCCGAACATCCGACAACTTCCGACTAATTTCCATCGGATCCGATGGTGTGAGATCGGCTTGTGTATTCTGCATTCTTATGTAATCCGACAAGTTCCGATACCAGTGATTGATCGGTTTTATCATGGAATCCGGTGTCACTTGAAACCACAAAATCCGGCCATTTCTTGACATCAGATTCCCCGGAATCCCATCGGAAGCGAACAGATCTTGAGGTCGGATCTGACCAGTTCCGAATATATGAATCTAGTCGGAGCTCGATGAATCCGACCGGCGGATATCAAAGGAAAACAGTGGATAGCATCGGAAACCGACAAAAAGTAACCGACCGAATCCGATTAGCCGTATCTCAACGGATTTGAAACCTATCCGACAGGATCCGACATAGCTATTTCGACCTGGGGACTGGCGATTAAATAGAAAGTCCATTTTTCTCATCCGTAAAATTGTGGACGTATATGTCGATAATAAGAACGATAACTCTCTAAGCTGAAGTATAGTCGATTCTGAGCCGAAATCGAATTTACCATCCACCACTACTAACTCAATAGCCGTAAGTAGTGAGTTCGACTGCGGGTCAGAACCAACTATATTGGAAGTGACACGCTACAAAACTATGAACTTCTTCTTTTTTTCTCCATTTGCCTTCTTTCACTAGTGGTGATCAGTCGTATTCTTTTCTCTTTCTTTGATCAAAGAACGAACATATACGCATCATCATATATTGTTATTTTTATATATAATTGGATAGAAAAAAGAAAAAACATTTATATTTTCATTTATTACCCGAATTATTAACTTGCTGGTGCTAGGTGGTGAAACCACTATACAGTCAAGCAGGACTCCTCCGACCTACTCCAACCACTCCTACAACATCCCCCAGCTCCAACAACATCAAGATAAATCATCATCTAGCCTTATTAATTCACATCATCCCGTAAACTATGGTCAATGTATTCATCGAACAACAAATGAAAATTATCAACACTCAAATTTCCATCAACAAAATTATACATGATGTAACCGTCAATCCCGATATTTTGTATCTTCTGTTACACCAACAAAATTCAATTCGATCCAAATTGTTCATCCATCACTTGGAAATGTGATAGTGAATGATTCATCCTCTGATATACATGCACATCCATATGCAAACTGTCGTACAAATAAAAAAAAGAAAACAAAGTGGTAATGAATAGCCAATAGCATGCCATCATGATGAATCACCACTTCTTCAACAGATAAATGATGATACTAATACACAAACAAAATCAACATCACCTAATATTCCATCAACAAAAGTTATAGATGAAGCTAAACGTTATGCTCAATCTTGTTATCTATTTCCACCCTTTATTTTACATTTTAAAAGATTCAAAATTAATGATAAAGCTACTATTGATGAATTATTGAACTATAGTAAAGTTAATTGCTCTTTTGATCTTGAATTAGCTGATTTTCGTTCATCATCAATTAGATCCAATGATAATGAATGTAATCTACATATATTCGTTAAAAATAGTTTATCATTTTCATTTTTGTATTCGAACATTAAATGGACTGATAAATTGGGTGGTGAAGTTTTTACTATTGATCGACAACCAGCTATTCCACCTCAACTTGCTCTTATTATAACCAACGTTAGTTATAAAACGAACTTAAACGAGTTCGAAAATGATTTAAAAGTCAGGTACGAGAATATTGCTAAATTTATTCATTTAAAAAATAGGAATCAATTTGATACAAAATTAGTTGAAGTTGAATTCAGTTCATCAAAAACATGTGATGATGTATTAATCAATGGATCTATCATGGTGAATTATATAAAATATGATGTTAAAGAATTTCTACCGGTAGCAACAATTCTTATTTGTTCGAATTGTATGGGATTAGGACACTTCCGCAAGCAGTGCAAACAAAGTGATATTACATCTAAAATTTGTGGTAAACGTTATCAGGACCCGAACAAACATTGTTGCCAGGGTATGGTCAAATGTATTCATTGTGGTGGTGATCATAATTCGAATGACTTAAAATGTAAGGTGATCAAACAATACCGTGCTAATTTAACAAGCACGCTTTTATCATCATCATCTTCTAGTCGAACATTTGACAAGCACCTGAAGTCGTGGTCTGATTTTCCACCACTACCTTAACCAATTGGAACAATTAGAACAAATTTTAATAAACATGATATACCAATGGGTGTTACAAATGGAATTATGTCAAAGCTAGATCAGATTCTTAGTTCAATGAATAATATTAAGAATGTTATAGGTGATCTTACAAAACGTATTGAACAAATTGAAAAATGGGTTAATCATAAACGTGAATCTGATTCAAAAACCGAAAATGAAATTAAAGCATTACAACTTAGTAATGTACGTCATGAAGGTGAATTATTACAACATGCAAAATTAATTGAAAAAATGATCTTCCCGGTCTTAGATGATATGATCATGTTGTTGCTGGAGCTGAACGTTAAAGATGGTAGAATCTTAAGGGGACCCCCCCCCCCCTCTCAGAAACGATTTCTCACCTAAGATAGACCATTTGGGCTGAAACTTTCAGGAACAAGTGGTCCTGGTGAGATATGCTTGTGATAAAAATTTCAGCTCGATACACCCGAGTAGATCGAACTTACGGCCTGTATTCATACCTCCCAGAAAAATAGGAATCACTCAGTCGTAGTAAAGGCTAGAGAGCTCGGGATGGCGTCAAATTAAAGCTAGTCTCTGTGCGCAACTTTTCATCAGACGGATTTTTGAAATTCCTTTCCATTCATTTTTTATGACCATTTTACTGGGCAGGTCTGCAAAAACATGTCACTCGAGCGACAATAAATTCCACTTTTCTCAGCCCAGGAGAAATGTATCAAAAATCCGTCTGATGAAAAGTTAGCCCTGATTCAGAGCTTTAAAACAAAAAAAAAGTATTGAATAATACCCAGGGCCGGGACGGAGTGATTCCAATTTTCCTGCTAAGAAACCATATTCTGAGAAAAGCGCCAAAGAAGTTTTAGAAATGGGGTTTTCATTCAAATGCAGTCAATAATGGTATATTGATAATATTTATGTGGAATTTTCGAAAGCACGCAATAGATGGCGTAAGCTAGCACTACAGGTCGTACTATATGATATAAGAATGTTTATTCCATGCTGATAGAATTAAAAAAGTAGTCTTCCCAAAAATAACAAAAACCGCGAAAATCTCTCCGAAAACCAGATACTGAGGTGGAAATCTCCTACGAAGGTCTATAAAAATTTGACCTTTTTTTAGAAATTTATATATATTCTGAAAGAGGAAACTTCGCTGCATCTTCCTATGATAAAAACTCGGCTTCGATTACTTTTCCAAAAAATGGATTTTCTGAGGGGGAGGGGGCCCTTAAATGCTGATTTTAAGTCGAGAAGCGAGGTATGGAAAAACGAGTTTAAAGCTTTTCTTGATAAAAGACTAAAACTATAATGGAATTTTCTCTACATACTACACCTTTTTTTCTTGTACCACCGCCTCTAAACTATCAGATAGGTCTTTTTTTTCTTAGTTATGCAAAAAATAATTTCTCTTCTTTCGATTTTGTATTGTTTAAACATATTCTATCAGAATGGGAAAGTTGTTGTTTGCTTTTGTCTTGTTTTACTTTGTGGAAAAAATATGTTCGTACTAATATGTCCTCTTTCTTTTCCTCTCTTCACTGCTTGCCATTTAATGTTCACGGCTTTAATCATAGATGGAATGAAGTTTTTCTTCTCGCGAATTCCTTCAAACTCGATATCATCGTACTAGTGGAAACTGGTGTAATTGATCTCTCCTGGATGAACAAACTATTTCCGGATCGATCGATTTACTATCAAAAAGATGAAAATAGTTTTGGTGGGATCGCTGTACTGATTAGAAAAGATCTTAAAACGAAAAAATTAGACTGTAATTTACCCAATATTTGTACAATAGATATTGAACTTGAAGAAAAAATTAGGATTGTAGGTGTAAACGCACCCGAAAGTAAAACCTGGAATTGGAAAGATCTCATGCCATTCATTTCCTCCAAATGTGTATTACTGGGGGATTTTAATGTTGATTTAGACAAAGATACCAAACCACGTGAAATACTTCTGAAATGGGCCGACAGTTGCTCGCTATGCCCTAGCTTGCCGAATTCTTTCACATCTCTTAGATCTAATTCATATCGAACTATTGATTATGCTCTTTCGAGTGGTATACCAGTAAGCATTCAAACATATAAAGGTGGTACAACAAGTGATCATAAACCAATATTAAGTGTAGTTTCGTGTAGTAGAAACGAATCGGTTACAAGAAAAAATGTTCATTGGCAGGTTTTCTCCTAGTACTTATCTTATCTTTTTCCCTTCTAGCAGGGACATTGGACCTTGAGGGTGTGGGTATGGGTGTGGGCGTGGGTGTCGGTGTGGGTGCGGGTGTTGGTAT